CCCACCCTTCAGATATTTGTGGCTCCTACAGCCACACTGCTCAGGCTCCTGAAGACGTGGGCAGGCGTCAAACACAGCTGGGTCAGGTTTAAGGTTCTGCAGCAAAACAGGGCAACGCCCGGCCTTCTTAACGTGGAAGCTGGAACTCTGCACAAGGGCCCTTCACACCGCCCCGTCCTTCCCCAGGAGAGCCTCGCCAGCCCCGCCAAGGACCAACGAGTCCGACGGGACCCGGAGCCACGCAGCCCGATCCCCCCACCAAGCACCACATCGATGCCGCGTGCTGCAATACGCAGCTGCCAAGGAACACAAGCGCCAGAGGTCTGCTACCAGCCTGGGGAAGCGTCACGTGAAACGAGCAGTCAGCGGGGCTCCTAGCTTGGTGTCATGAAACAAACTACAGATAAATAAATAAATTTTTAAAACTATGAATGGTAAGAGATGCCTGAACTGTATTTTTTTTTCCACTGTGGTCCCAGGAGAAGACGACTCTACCTGTCCCAGCTCTGCTGGTCTCAGCCCTCTGCATGAGCCACCCTTCCCAGCTGGTGCCTCCAGGTCCAGGGCCACCGGCCGGCCTCTCGCTGATTTTCACCGGCAAGATTTTGCAGCTCTGAGATTCGAGGCTCTGGCTGTCTTCAGATCCCGACATCCCCTCCTCTCTCGGCAGCGCCAGTCTGGCTTTCTGCTTTTTTCCTCTTCTGCTTGTTTAGCTTGGCTGGCTGGAGCTATTTATTCTGGTTCATTTTGTGAAATGCCTCGGGACGAATGTCACGAGAGGGACTATTGCGTTGCGGGAGGACTGACCAGCACTAACAGCACAGATTAAAAATAATGAGTTAGGGAAGGGGATTTTCATCTTCTGTAAACAAGATGTAACCTCTGAAGCACTGCTCAGATCGATGTCTCAGCAGTTACCGAAACCTTGTATTACGGTATCACTCACTTATTAACCAGAACTACTCATCAAGCTGCCGACAGCGGTCAGACTGCAAGCTCCCACAGGGAGCTCCGCTCAGCAAGGATTTCCCCGTTTATTAGAAAATAAACTCTGTGGAAGCAGACACTACCAGACGAGAGACCGCCTGTTCTTCCAGCTCCAGTCCCCGGGCTGGGAACGGGCCGCTTGGAAGCCAGCTCGTTTTCGAGGCTGCACTCTGGCTGACTCCGGCGAAGCAGCACCCCTGGCCCCGGGGCGCCCAGCACCCCAGGCTCCGCGGCCGGGGGGGGGTCCCCCGCCCACACACAAAAAAAAACGCCCCGCCCCAAGGTCTCGCTAGCCCGGGTGCTGGCACGCCTGCCTGCTTAAGGCAAATTAAAAAGAGATGGTAAGGCAAAGGGGAGTATGAGGAGACGGGGAAAGCAGCGGGGAGCAGCAGTGATTTCGCAGCCACTTCATAGAAGCGGGGTGCCTTTCATATGGCTGAAGACCAGCGAAACAGGGAAGTCTGACCACTGACAACAGCACGAAGAAAGGAAGGTCCTTTCCTTCTACTGACACAGAAGTTTGCTGCGTATGAATTTCACTAATTTCTCATTGCAATGCCCAGCAAATTAACGAGCTAGGGTATGCTCCTGTTCAACAGCAGTGAAGAGAACACATCTTGCCAGCCTGCAGAAGCGGTTCAGCCTTTCATATGGCTGAAGACCAGCGAAACAGGGAAGTCTGACCACTGACAACAGCACGAAGAAAGGAAGGTCCTTTCCTTCTACTGACACAGAAGTTTGCTGCGTATGAATTTCACTAATTTCTCATTCTAATGCCCAGCAAATTAACGAGCTAGGGTATGCTCCTGTTCAACAGCCGTGAACAGAACACATCTTGCCAGGCTGCAGAAGCGGCTCAGTGCCACTCCAGCCGCACTGCGAGGAAATCCAGAGAGGTTTTGTCACACACAGGCAAGGAAATCAAAATCCTTGTCGGAGCTCCACTTTCTTTTACCAGAGTCAGAAGAAGCTAGAATAAAACTCTTTCTAATCGAGCAAATAATTTGCAGAAACAGAGCTAAAAAATACACATCTTGACACAGAATTCAGAAGTTTGCCCAGTGTTTTAGGAGTATGCCCAGTTTTTCGTCTTCCTGTGCCCTGAGTAGAGACATGTTCGTCTCCTCACTTGAGCAGGGGAAGGAGACAGGCCATTAGCATGCGGGTAGATAGACTGCAATGAAACACGCCAAAAATTAAAATAATTCTTAATTTACGGATTAGTACCTTGGGAGAGACAGCAGAATTCTCAGTGACTTAAGCTGAAATTAATGACCAGCTAGTCATAAAGAGCTCGGAAACAAGCCTCAGCTTTTCCAAGAGACAAGATCGACGGAAGAAATGAGGCAGGCAGCGGTCCTCCTCCGGGCTCGTCTGCACAGCGAGCTCGGCGAGGAGGTCAGGGCGCGAATCCAGAGAGCATCAGCCAGGCTGAAGTAACTCCCCATTTGGGCGTACTCGGCAGCACCGTACCCCACCGGGAGATGCCCCTTCCTCACAGGCCCCATGGCAGCGTTTCTCTGTTCTCCAGCACAGCCTGGTTTCTGCCCCGCCAGCAGCAGCAGCCCCCGGCCGTGTGCCAGCTGAGCGTCCATACACGCTGGGTGACGCTGCAGCAAGCCAGGTCACTGCTGCGGTCACTGCGGGTCACACGTCTTCCCAGACGAGGGTCAGAATTCATCAAGAGCCTTCCTGGCTTGACATGGGAGATCAAAGCCCAGTCTGAGGCCTAAAAAAGCCAAGATTTATGCAGATAGCAACACTGTACAGACTGGCTGAAAAGGGTACTTGACAACGACGGCATGTACGCTACAAACTTCAGCACAATAGATCATGTTCTAGATTAAAGCAACACTGATTTTCCACTGTCACTGTCCCAGTTTTCCATGGGGATTAAAATTTCATATGTGTATTTTCACACTAAAGGATCCCATCAAAAGCTGAAGCGATGAACACTGGCTTCATCCCTGTTCTGACTCAAAAGTACTTACAGCTGCTCTTTAAATGGTGAAAAAATAAACCCCATCAACACAGGCACACTTCTCAGGCTGCTTTCCAACGCCCCTTTAATAACTTTTCATTTAATACCTTCTGAACACTGGCTGCTGCCCAAGGAGTTCTGAGACATCAAATGTTTTTGCCTTCGGATGACCCGCACGGGTCACCACGTGCACGTTCTTCACAGCTTTCTGAGCAGTCACCAGGTACCGCCGCCATCCTCTCCGCTGCGCGATGCTGTGCAGGGCTTGCTGTTGGTGCTAAGCAAGGCTTCCTTCACCCAGGTTTGGCTCTGGCTCGGTGTTTCAGGAGCCTGAGAACGTCTCCTTGCCGAAGGCGATGCCTCTCCGCACACCAACGTCCC